CTCAATTATCTCAAAATAAAATTTATGTAAAAAAGGGCTGTTTTAATAGATAACACCCCATATAATCAAATTTTATGCCCCATGGTCAAGGAAATTAGTTAATATAAAAATTCACCATAAGACTTATTAAAAACCATTATACAATATTATTCTTTTGCTCTTTATTTAATATACTTGATTGCAATTCTTCTTTTATGATTACATCGGCTAACTAATATTGTAATCAATATTATTGCTAGCACTACTGATTATATTGATGTAAATATCAAGAATCCTATTATTAACTAGTTCCCTCAAATGTGATAATTCTCACAAACTTTTCTTGTGATCTTTCAACACTTATTCCGTGAAATAAAATAATGTTCAAAATCACCCGCAGTAAACCATCTGCATGTATGAATAAATTGCTAACGATGCAATAAATAAACAAACTTATTTGAAGTGATTTTTCACAGTCCTTTGGATAATTAAGTTTTAACATTTCAACCGTTCGTTCTTTCCATTGATGTTCACGATCCATACGAAATAATTTTGCCCTAACAGTATGTCGAGTAATTTCTTCCTCTTCTCCGGTAAATACTACCAAGAAAATTATTATTATAATTTTGTACAGACTGAGCAAATTTAAAATTTAACTAACCTTCTTGTTTATGTAATAAGAGCCTTGCACCGGTTCCAAAAGGCACTTCTACATCACTTTTTTTGCCATCATCATCATCACTGTCGTTCCGTGTAGGTTCATTAAATTGTGTTCCAGTATATTTAGATCCAAAAATACTTGAAATAGAATAATTAGAAAACCCAAGTGGCTACAAATAAATTAAGGCTGATTAATTACTATTTATAACAAAAAGAAAATAAGTTGCGTAAATAATTTGCGTAAATAATTTATGTATATATTAATGAATGTACCTTGTTATAAGACTGTAAAGTAGTGTTCCGCAGAACCGAACCGAAGATCCGGAACCGACCCGGAACCGCCCCCCGATTCGGGTCCGGATCCATCATTGTTAGAATAATTTCGGTTCCGGGTCTCGATCTATACCCGAATCGGTAAT